AGAGCTGTGCACAAGACAGGTTCTTATAGTGTTTAAAAATGTTCAACCTCGATTTTGCACACACTTGTCATATGCATGTTACCCACATTTAGATATCTATTATAGCCTTACATGGCAAAATAACCAATAACGTTCTTTCCGTGTTTTTGTAGTTTATGATGTGTCTCTATCATATTCATCTCTACCTTACGAAGGTGTTATACAAATTACCACTGATAGTGGGACCAAGAATGTTTGTTGGAAAAGTTTACACCAAAATGACTGGGCCCTGAATACTGTTTGTCGTCAGCTGGGACACGATCCCTCATACTCTCTTGTTAAAATATCCACTCCAATGGATGCCAAAAATGCAACATTTTCTGGAAGTATAAACTGTAATAGTGAAGACAGATACTTATCCCAGTGTTCAATTACTGCTTCAGCCAACGAAAGTTGTTCTGAGTTATTATACATACAATGTAAGTGTGGTAAGATGGAACGAATAGAATGCAGAGGTAAACGAAAGGAGGAAAGAATATAAAAAGAAATAGAAAGTAAATAATTAGAGGAAGAATGAAAGAACAACCATCAACACCAATCTGATCATTCATCAAAATCTAGAATGCTTAACTTTTTATTTTCATATTTTAGGTGGTCACTGGGTGTATTATATAAACAATCATAAACCACTATTACAAGATAAACGAATATTTCCAGATTCATCATTCAGTGCGTCTGCTTCTTCAGAAGGTCACAGTGCTTCTGATGCAAGAATATCTAGTGATAGTTCTTGGTGTGCTCCTGTTTCAGATGACACACATTATCTTCAAGTGGACTTAGGAAGATTGTATAATATCTATTTTGTCGTAATATATGGTGACAGTACCAGCCCAAAGTGGGTGGCCTCGTATAACCTGAATTATACCACTGACTTGGCCTTGGTGAACTGGAAAACTGAAACTTCGGTGAGAAAGAATGATATAACCAAGAATACCACCATTATAGCATGTTCTTATTTAGCCTTTGTTGTGACTTCTCTTTGTTAACGATTCATTCTTGTTTGTAGATAGTTCAAGGAAACAAGAATGCTTACGACCATGCAGCTTGGATACATTTTTATATGGACGCAAGAGCTTTACGATTCATTCCATTGACATACGTAGGTCAACCATGTATGAGAGTTGAGATTTGGGGCGGACGTAAGTTACTAGTAACTGTAAAAAACAAGTTACTGCACTTAACTTAATTGTAGTTATTTCTTAATTCTCAACTCGCCCTCACACACTTTATTAGAGACCTTACGATTTTAGGACGGCAACGCGACGGCAACGGCTACCAATACAATACATAATTGAAAAGAATTGAGTAATTACAATATATGAATAACTTAGACATTAATTGTCCTCGCTCTGTAGTACAACGCCACATCACAGATTTTCACGTCTTGATACAACGGCTGCATTCCAAGCCGCAACAAGTGCAACTTCAAACTGGGTTTAGCAGAACTCTTCCCAACCATAAAACCCATGTCTTCAACTTCTAAAACTGTATTAAATTCATGTACGATCGATAATATACCACGAACTATCTTTACTACCATTTTGGCCGTCGCCGTCGCGTTGCCGTCCTAAAATCGTAAGGTGTCTATTAACTCTGCCAGGAGGTTCGTTTTCACATGGATTTGGTGTTTGTGTGTATCTACCTATCGACAGGAAAAGTACAAAACTATTAAACAGTTTATATTTTAATACGAAATTTTGTGGAACTGTTGGTAATAACGGGCGCATGCAACATACCAAGGACAACATTTTGGATGAATTTGGATGAAAAGCTAAGCTCTCCCAAAAAACAAACGATCAGAGTATAACAGTAATATAAAGATTCTTGATCACTGCCTAAAAGGCAAAATCAACAAAATTACCAACATTGTTGTCAATGAAATATTCCTTGCATTATTAATTAATTTAAACTGGTGAGCTTTACCACATGTCACGGTTTTCACAGTGGGCTAAAACGTCCTAAAAATAGACATATGTCGTATATGTATTGGTTTGACTATGCTAATTTGCCGGCGATTGTAGCGCTCACCAAGTCATATAGCTGAAACAATTTTTTGAAGAATTTTTTGTTGTCCAAATTCTTCAATTCGATGGCAGAAAGTGGAGGAAGATTGAACTAGCCCTAGTTGAAGGACGGGTATCTTGCTGAACAAAATTTTAACTGTAATTGTTGTATAGGAACATATGAATTGGTTGGGAAAACAAATAAACAGATGCAGCCATAAACGTTTAATTTTAGAAATTTTTATTGTAATTATAATCTTAATGTGTATTTTTAATAAAAAAGTCGTTAATTATAAAAAGGAAATGGTATTTCCGAGCCTCAATTATTCACATTTTTTCCGGACCCTCTACATTTCAGCCCTAATAACTTTAGCTATATTTCTATGCTACTGCTGTGACATCCAGTTCCATCATGTTTTCCTGTCGTATTTGCACCTGTACTTGCCTGAAAACTACAGTACCCAAATTGGCTGAAAATTAGCCCCCCCCCCGTTTCGCCGCTACTGCTGTTTTTGTCGGTATGTTCGATCCTCCTTTCATAATAATTTATTAAACATTTAAAAATTATATATTATACTTTTTATTATAGCTAGAGAACCAGACAGACCAACACACCTCACCGTTACTAACATCAAGTCTAGAAGTGCTAAAATATCTTGGCGAGATCCTAGACGTCCTGGGTTATATGCACGTATATCACGCTTTTGGATTAAGCTGAAGAAAGAAAACTCCCTAATCCTGAACATTATCACAGGAAAAGTGAATAAATATGAAATAAATAATCTCACTTCGTATACTACTTATGAAATATCTGTAGCTGCTGGAAATGATCGTTATGGTTTTGGTGAAGAGAGTAATACTTCGTTCTTAACATCTGAAGAAGGTGTGTGTTAAATGATGTGTGTATTTCTGCAAGGCAAAACATGGTTCCTTTATAGGTTAATATACATTCAAAATGTCTCCTTCAGTAACATAAAATAAACCTTTGTTTTATATACCCTTTAGCTCCAAGCGGTCCTCCATTGAACATCAGAACCACATCAAGAAGTGCATCGTCATTGTATTTCGCTTGGGATCCTCCTGACAAAACTGAACAAAATGGCGTCATTATCAGTTATACAGCGTGTGTTTCATATTTCGAAAATGGTTCTAGTTGCTTTCAGACATTTAATACAAGTGAGAGGATGTGGCTTGTTGTTAATTTGAGTCCATTAACAAAATATTATGTTCGTGTTCTTGCAAGTACTAAAGTTGGTCATGGAAACTACAGTGAAAGTAAAGGATTTTTTACAAGTGGAAGTAAGTAATCTTATGAACTCACTCTCACATACTTCATTATCTTTGCCAGGTTTGTTTTAATGTCTGTCTGTCTGTCTGTCAGCTGCACAACTCAAAAACTATTAAAAGGTTATTACTCGAAATTTTGTGGAACCATTAGCATTAGCTCGGGCAGTGGACCAAGGTCAAATCGATCAAATCTGAATTTAGATGAAAATTTGATCGGATATTTTGTAAGAGATTGTCTTGCTTTCCGAGCCGAAAAGAATGAATAAGTAATTGATGCATAATTTATTAATTGGATTATTTTACTTTCGGTGGTAGTAGAGCGCACTCTACTGTAGTTGATCATGATATTATTTTTTGTACATCAGTATCTGCCTCTTATCTTTTGTATTTCTACGATTATTTATTAGACATTTAAACATTAGATTTTGTACTTTTTCTTTAGCTTTCTTTCCAGACAAACCAACAAATCTCACCGTCACTAACATCACGTCTAGAAGTGCTGAAATATCCTGGCAAGATCCTGAAAATCATGGGACATATCGTCTTTTATCCTTTCGAATTAAACTGAAGAAAGAAAACTCTCTAATCCTGAACATTACCACAGGAAAAGTGAATAAATATGAAATAAATAATCTCACTCCGTATACTACATATGAAATATCTGTAGCTGCTGGAAATTATTATTATCAATTTGGTGAAGAGAGTAATACTTCCTTCTCAACATCTGAAGAAGGTGAGCTGTTTTAACAAAAAGATATGTGTTTTACTGGAAGCCAAAACATGGTTCCTTTAACACTGATGCAACAAAATGTCTACTTCAATTAGTACACAAAATTTCAATAAAAACATCTGTTTATATATACACTTTAGCTCCAAGCGGTCCTCCATTAAATATCAGAATCACATCAAGAAGTGCATCGTCATTGTCTTTCGCTTGGGACCCTCCTGATAGAACTAAACAAAATGGCGTAATTATCAATTATACAGCGTGTGTTTCATATTTCGAAAATGATCCTTGCCTTCAGTCATTCATTACAAGTGAAAGGAGATGGCTCTTTGTTAATTTGAATCTATTCACAAAGTATTATGTTCGTGTTCTTGCAAGTACTAAAGTTGGTCCTGGAAACTACAGTGAAAGTAAAGGAATTTTTACGAGTGGAAGTAAGTGATCTTATGAACTCGCTCTTAAACACTTCATTACATTTGCCAGGTTTGTTTTAACGTCCGTCTATCTGTCAGCCGAAAAACTTTGTAGAACCATTGGCATTAGCTCGGGCAATAGACGAAGGTCAAATCGATCAAATTTTGGCTGATAAATTCATCTAAATTTTAAAAAACAGATGTTTTGAAAGAGATTGTCTTGCTTTCCGAGGCGAAAAGAATGAATAAGTAATTGATGCATAATTTATTAATTGGATTATTTTACTTTCGCTGGCAGTGGAGCCCACTCTGCTGTTGTTCATCATGATATTATTTTTTGCACATTAGTATCTGCCTCTTATCTTTTGTATTATTATACGATTATTTATTACACATTTAAACATTAGATTTTGTACTTTTTCAGGTATTGTTTTATTACCTATAAATCTCACCGTCACTAACATCAAGTCTAGAAGTGCTGAAATATCTTGGCCAGATCCTAAAGATCGTGAAAGATTTGGTGTTTCACGCTTTTGGATTAAGCTGAAGAAAGAAAACTCTCTAATCCTGAACATTACCACAGGAAGAGTGAATGAATATGAAATAAGTAATCTCACTCCGTATACTACATATGAAATATCTGTAGCTGCTGGCAATGATTATGGTTTTGGTGAAGAGAGTAATACTTCGTTCTTAACATCTGAAGAAGGTGAGTGTTAAAAGATGTGTGTTTTACTGCAAGCCAAAACTAGGTTCCTTTGTGCACTCAACATGTAAACTTAAGTTATACAAAATTTAAATAAAAACATCTGTTTGTATATGCACTTTAGCTCCGAGTGGTCCTCCATTGAATATCAGAACCACATCAAGAAGTACATCGTCATTGTCTTTTGCTTGGGACCATCCTGACACAACTAAACAAAATGGCGTCATTATCAGTTATAAAGCGTGTGTTTCACATTCAGAAAATGGTGTTTGCTTTCTGACATTCATTACAGGTGAAAGGAAGTGGCTCGTCGGAAATTTGAATCCATTAACAAAATATTATGTTCGTGTTCTTGCAAGTACTAAAGTTGGTCATGGAAACTACAGTGAAAGTAAAGGATTTTTTACGAGTGGAAGTAAGTAATCTTATAAACTCGCTCTTGCACACTTCATTACCTTTGCCATATTTGTTTTAACGTCCGTCTATCTGTCAGCCAGATAACTCGAAAACTATAAAACGATTTAATACGAAATTTTGTGGATCCATTGGCATTAGCTCGTGCAGTAGATCAAGGTTGAATCGATTAAATTTTGGCTGAATTTAGATGAAAATTGGTCAGATATTTTATAGGAGATTGTCTTGCTTTCCGAGCCGAAACGAACTGAATGAATAAGTAATTGATGCATAATTTATTAATTAGATTATTTTACTTTCGCTGGCAGTGAAGCGCGTTCTGCTATTGTTCATCATGATATAGTATATTTTGTACATCAGTATCTGCCACTTACCTTTTGTATTTGTACGATTATTTATTACACATTTAAACATAATTTGTACTTTTTCAGATCTAGTTTTGTTAGCTATAAATCTCACTGTCACTAACATCAAGTCTAGAAGTGCTGAAATGTCTTGGCAAGATCCTAAAGATCATGAAAGATTTGGTGTTTCACGCTTTCGAATTAAATTGAAGACAGAAAACTTGCTAATCCTGAACATTACCACAGGAAAAGTGAATAAATATGAAATAAATAATCTCACTCCAGATACCACATATGAAATATCTGTAGCTGCTGAAACTGATTATTATGGTTTTGGCAAAGAGAGTATTACTTCGTTCTCAACATCTGAAGAAGGTGCGTGTTAAAGTATTTAAATTGTTTTTCTGAGATAAAGTGTTTTTCTGCAAGGCAAAACATGGTTCCTTTATACATTCGTGCCTGCAAAATGTCTACTTCAGTTAATACATAAAATTTAAATATAAACATCTGTTTATATATACACTTTATATAATTATAATTAGCTCCGAGCGGTCCTCCATTGAACATCAGAACCACATCAAGAAGTGCATCGTCATTGTCTTTCGCTTGGGATCCTCCTGACACCAATAAACAAAATGGCGTCATTATCAGTTATACGGCGTGTGTTTCGCATTCAGAAAATGGTCGTTGCTTTCAGACATTCATTACAAGTGAAAGAAAGTGGCTTGTTGTTAATTTGAATCCAGTAACAAAATATTATGTTCGTGTTCTTGCAAGTACTAAAGTTGGTCATGGAAACTACAGTGAAAGTGAAGGATTTTTTACGAATGGAAGTAAGTACAACACCAGTGTCGTATATATCTCTATCTTTTTTGTGATCCTACAAGAAAATGCCGGCTCTGAATTTTGTATTTACCGTTTCGCTCAGTTGTTTATTGTATTTAGCACATAAAACGATAAGACAGAGAACATTAATGCCGAATCTGAAAAATCTTTATTTTACGTTTTTACGTATTCTGCTTTGACCTTTGTATTATCAATTGTCATTTGTCAAGTTGTTTAATGGTTTGAGAATTCATATTTTTTTCAGCAGTACCTTTACTGAGATAAAATTCTCAATCCTTTCTTATTTCAACTTTACTTAAGTAAAATTTTCAGGCAATACTTCTTTTACCTAATATCATAACTTCGCTGAATTCTGTTGATAACAGTTCACTTTTTCCTACAGTACCGGCTAAGAAAGCCACAGCTGAAACATCAAGTACACTCACATTTTCATTGAAGATTCCATCAAAAACGTTTGTGTAAGTATATTAATATTTGACTGTAAATGGTGTGGCAGATAAATACATGGTATAATGTATTATTTGGTTTATATGAAGAAGGCAAATTTTGATTTATAGATATTTCTACGTAGTGGCTTTGAAATTAAAAGACGGCCAAGAGCCTGCATCATCTGACAGTTACCAGAGCAATGAGTTAGTGACGTATGCTGAGGCGGAAAACTCAACCAATCCGAAACCTTATATTGCTGCGGTAATTACATCCAGCGGTGTTGATGAAAACATGTTTATACTTGGTGATGGCAGAAATACAGATGATCCAACTTCACGAAAACGGAGGTCAACTACAAGTGATTATTTTAATGGTCCGTTGCAGCCTGGCACTAGTTATAGTGTTTTTCAAAGGATTATTATCAATGCAATGGTATGATATTGGGGTGGGGGGTGGGGGCAGCAAACTTTGTATTGAACGCACTGATCTCAAAACCGAGCTGGGTTATGGAGCCAATGGCGGCCATATTGCCATAGATAATGAGTGGGCGTTGCAGGGAAAAGTTCAGGGAAACGAAAGGGCAAATTGAAGCTTGCTAATGGGGGCAAATTTGAGTTTACACTTACAATTTCTGCTGCGATTTTAAGTGCGATTCTTTCTTCTGATTGATGGGAACGAGCAAGTGAGTTGAGAATGTTCTGAGTATCTGAATATTCATAACTCATGCATTCGTTTACATTCATCAAACGAAGAAAATCACAACAAAAATTGCAAGTTAAACAAGGGTTAAGAAAGAAAAACAAAAACGAGCAAAAAGTACTTCCACATATTTCCCTCAATACGTTATGACATCAATGTGTAGCTGGCTTAACAGATCAATGAATTAATAAATTATCGTCTTCTTTACTATAGGTTGATTATTATTCCACTGACTGGAGTCCTCCTTCAAAAACGAGTGAAGGTACAGATATATTTCTTCCATGTAATTTTAATTTGATATTGATCATTGGGTTCGCTAAGTAAGTTTAGTCCTGATAAAATCAATAAAAAGTGAATGAAAGCAGGTTGGTGTATGAATTTGCAGTAACAGTATTTTGGCACAATTTTTATTAAATCACTTACAGGTATATGCTTTTCCAACTTTATTTAATATCAGACATGTTGTAAATTATTTAATACGTGATGATCTTCTTAATCATATCTCAAACTCAATAATGCATGAGTAAATTAGCCAGCCATATTACTTTAGTTTGCGCACATGATAATACTGGATACTTGGTGGAGTATATATTGATCCAGACCTATGACTGGATCGAAATTAATTCAGTCCTTGGACTGGATCAAAATGAATTCACTTCACCTTAAGTAATTATAGTGATTTATTTGTATGAGATGTCCTATTTGATCAAGTTCAACTATGACGACTGCTGGACTAGATTTCAAGTCCGCGTAATTAGATGAAGCCCAAGGCGAAGCTGAGCACTGGATCAAAATGCAGCGACTTGAAATCTAGTCCAGTCCGAATTGGAGGATTTGAAATATTACTTCAAATTTCAGCTCCAGTTACAGATCAAGTTCCCACTGACGTTCCAGGCAATGATGATGGTTCAAAAAACTATCTTGTTGGAATGACAGTAGCAATATTGGTGGTCATTTTAGTTGTTATTGTCGCTTCATTATATTTTATCTGTCAAAAGCGTCGACGCAAATCATCAAGCACCGAAGCAAATGCGAAGAAGACAAATGACGTAAGTAATCCACAATATATTTATGATGATGTCGGCAATTATGAACAAGTAAACGATGAACAGTCGACGTATACAGGTCTCAATAAGCCTGGGGAAGGAACTGATGATCATTTATATGCTCATTTAAATGAGGTAACACAAAATATGCACGCAGATCAGAAGGAAACTGGATTCTAATGTTTTATTAATGCATAGTTAATCAAGATATGTTCTGCTGTAAATTTCAAAGTGTCCACAATGAACTAGGATTTTATGTTGCAAACACAGCTTCACTGTGAATAAATCTTCTCAACTTTTGATTGTTAATATTTCCACTGTACGTTTGAGTGTGCCATTGGATGATTGCTTCATTGTTTATATGCCAAAAAATCAATGTCTCGACCGTGCACAAATTCACATCGAAATAAACAAAAAATGAAACAAATTTAAAACTCTCTCCAGATCATATCTTCATTGACTATGGTTTAGACAAAAAACTTGTTCTTCGTTGTCTGATTTTGCTCAGCAATTCCGTGCAATGAAATGTAGATGAACCATTTTGTGATAATAATACAATTATGTAGCAGACGTAATTGATACTAATAACTAATCGATGTATTCTAATTAAGGACTTGGATTTAATTAGCCAAGGAGCGTGCATAATAATTAAGCAGATGTAATTGATACTAATAACTAATCGATGTATTCTAATTAAGGACTTGGAATTAATTAGCCAAGGACCGTGCGTAATAATTAAGCGGACATAATTTATACTAATAACTAATCGATGTATTCTAATTAAAGACTTGGAATTAATTAGCCAAAGAGCGTGCGTAATAATTAAGCAGATGTAATTGATACTAATAACTCTAATAACTAATAACTAATTGATGTATTCTAATTAAGGACTTGGAGTTAATTAGCCAGAGACCGTGCGTAATAATTAAGCAAACGTAATTGACATTAATAACTAATCGATATATTCTAATTAAGGACTTGGAAGTAATTAGCCAAAGACCGTGCGTAAGTAATTGATACTAATTACTAATTTCAACTAATTACAGTATTCTAATAACGCATTGAGTCGATCTGGGAAAATTTGATGGTCAATCCATGTGTATGTACTTAATGTGTATTGTTACTCGTCCTTCGTACTCGTGCAATTTTGAGTCTTTGAAAAACACACTCGTGCACGTTTCTTTCCAAATTGCACTCGAAACCACACTACTATTACCTATACAAACAATTATGGTTAAACGTACAGGGCGCCATGTTTTTGTAGTTATCAATTAAAATACAGTATCTCAAACGTTATCAAAGGTACAGTATCGCCATGTTCCCACGAGGATAAACTCGTTCCAGTCCACTTTTGTTCAGCCGAGCGTTAAAGTCCCTGCTATACCGCGGGGAAAATGCTACATTAAATACGCGTTAATCCACGGCAGTGCATGTCCCCGTTAATTCCCCGCCCTTTCCCGGGGGTCGGGGAACCGGAGTTTCAGTTGACTAGTGCAGTAGTTATTTAGCAAGTTTTTTATTGTCAACTTAGTGACTAGTAGGTTCGTTCACTTTCGGTATAATATATCGTTTACAGACCCTCTACTCGGGGGATTCAGGAAAGTATTACACTTAGTGATGATATCAGAGCGAAACCCCTCGGCGGAAATATCATCACGTCGCGATAATATTTGGCCGAATCCCCCTCGCTCCTGGTCTATAATTAGCGATATTTTTATTTCACTGTATATATATATATATATATATACGAGTAGGTTTGTGTATACGAAACGCAAAGAGTGCTCAATATCATAAAGATAGAGCAAATGTAGAATTTCGCTTACCTCAAAATTCCGCAACAGTCTGTTTCACCACAACAGTCTGTTCTTTACTGATGAAACAGACTGCTGCGGAATTTTGAGGTAAGCGAAATTATATATATATATATATATATATATATATATATATATATATATATATATATATATATATATATATATATATATATATATATATATATATATATATATATATATATATATATATATATATAAATATATATATGTATATATATATGTATATATATATATATATGTATAGCTAGCTTGCGTTTAATATCGTATCGGTTTTGCGTGCGAACGGTGGAAAACAGTTCGATACGCTATGTGTGATCGGCCTATATTTTTTGAATCGCCAGCAAAATGTTAGCGTATTTAAACTAATCTGGCTTTTCCTGACAATAAAGGAAACATTTACAGTGGCTTAATGATCGATATTTTTCATTCAATTTGAAAAGAACCACGGACTTCATGCCGACTCTCTATAAAGATTTATCTGATTGGGTTTCGCTACATTGGTTCATTTCGTCTTCTGCGCTTTCATAACGTAAATGCTTCAGAGATCTTGTTTCAAAACATTTGAAATTGAAGTCTGCTTCCTTGAAGAAGATGTTTCCAAGTTTTTACATTTTCTAGTATTGGCTGTATAGTTTCCCTGTTACTGAAAAATAAAATTTTCGTGGTTTAACAGAAGAAGCCTTGAGGAGTCAAACTGAAACAGGAATTTGCCTGACTGTTTACTTGTCATCAGAATGCGTAATTGTTTATCGTTTAAGTATAATTGGATCTTGCATATACTAATACGACTAATAATAGCTTGGGAACCAATTTTCTTTTCAATAAGTGAAAATAATACTTAACAATGCCACTTGATATAGATATCTAAGTAAATCAACAACGTTTTATTCAATTTATAGATTATGATAGTCAGGTAGCTCTGTCGGTCGCAGAGATTCCCCATATAGAGAAGAAGTCTTACTGATCAGCGGAAAACTCTGCGGAGAATAGAGGTTTGGTTGTGAGAAAGTTATAACTCAATTGTTCTAAACATCTAGAAGTTGCTAAAACGTAACATCTCAGCATGATGTACTTGTTATATGTCATATCTGAGAACAATTAAAATGATAAAATCTTACTAAAATTCTTAGCTTTGTAGAGTGTATACTTAGTGTGTGAACATTCAAGGTACACAGCTTTCCCACCTATAACCACAATAGACAAAGGGAACCTTTTTCCTTAGGAATGTTTGGTATTTTCTTGTTATGCAATTATGGAAAGCAGGTAAGGCTTATATCTAATTTGGTTTTGCTACATTGATTTATTTCGTCTTTCGCATTCACAACGTAGATGTTTGCATCTAGTCTCAAAATTAGAAGTCAATTTCCTGGTTTAAAAGAAGATGTTTCCAAAGTGTTTTCATTTTGTGATGTTGGTTATCGTGTCCTCACAATTGAAAGGTACAAGTTTTTTTGTGATCCTGTATTTATAACGTGCTGAATTAACCGATAGAGACTAATTCATAACTATAACAAGAGAGTCAAAATTAACGATCTCAAAAGAGTCGTTCTGTTGTCGAACGACTTTTGGGGTCAAACGACTCAGAAATAGGCCTAATGGTATACAGTGTTAGATGCCGTTTACAAATTTCAAATTCATTCAAAATCAACCTAATTGTATGAATATTTTATCACTGCACAATCCATAAGCCACAGAGTCAGAGAGTGCCAGTCCAGAGCTCAAGACTATATACTGTGCCTATACTGGTACTCCATGAAGGGATATTTTACGAACAACACACTGAAAGTCCATGCCACAATTAGTAATCCGTGACAAGAATTTTTCTTTTCAAATCAAATCAAGTCGCATTAAATTTTATTTCCGTATAGGTTACAAACCTCTTCAGTGATGTGTCACTGGTATCAATGAGGGCCAACTTCGTCACTGTGGCACAAATTGGTTATCACTGCGGCACTAAAATTAGGTATGCATCGCGATTCACTTGCTTTCATAATATAATGTGAACATAACTTTAACCAAATTAAAAAAATAGTATAAATGCTGACTTAATGCACTGTCAAAGTTATTTTATTTTATTTATTTTATTTTACAATATTTGTCACATGACCGGTTTAACCCACAGAGCTAGTTGCTCCTTTGCGGGTAACCTGCTAATGCAATACTGAAATATAGGTTAACACAGTGGACATATCACTTCAAAATCGCTAATCACTGAGACGTTTGATTTAAATGATCCTGAGCAATTCTAATCATGTGGTCGAAAAAAGGAATTTAATTTAAATTTCACATGCTCTCTAACAAAGTGATATTTCCACTGGGTTAACAGCAACTAATGACAACACAGTTTGACAAAAACACTGGACAAGGGACGACACAAATGACACTTTACACACACTGTTTTAAACGTTTGTGGAACATCAATGTCGTAGACCTCTTCAACAAGTTTTTGGTAATATTTAAATAGGCCGCATTTAAATTGACTGATTGAGAGATTTGACTGCCGTAAGTGTGATGGTAAACAGTTAAAAGTCCTGGGTGATCTGCAGTAATAACTGTTCTGAAATGTTAAAGTGTTTACTCTAGGAACTTGTAATATAATTTTTGCTGTTCCATCATTTTCTCTCGTCAACCGATCTGTTGTCTTTACATAGATATTATGGTCATTAGATAGAACTAACGCTTTGTAGAGGTAGACCATATCCAGGAATTCATGCCAGTATGTTAATGGTAGTAAAATATTATTATTATTATTAAGTACACTTTCATCGGAAAACGAGGCTGATGTTTTCTGGGGCAGGCTCCCTTGAATAGATTGGGAGGGAGCCACTTGTATTGAGTTTAATGGTTTTGAGGATGAGAGAACGTTCAGAACAAAATGCGATGAAAACAGCATGAACATTTGCCGCTATTATCCACATATAAAAATATCCATTATAGCGTTACATGCATGGCAAAATAACCAATGTTCTTTTCGTATGTGTAGTTCAGGATGTGTTTCCATCATATTCATCTCTGCCTTACGAAGGTGTTGTACAAATTACCACTGATAGTGGGACCAAGAAAGTTTGTTAAATAATTAGAAGAATGAAAGAACAACCTCAATGTGGTCAATCTGATCTCTTCATCAAAATCTAGAATGCTTAACTTTTTATTTTCATATTTTAGGTGGTGACTGGTGGTATTATAGACTATATTATAAACCACTGTTACAAGATCAACGAAGATTTCCTGATTCATCATTTAGTGCGTCTGCTTCTTCAGAAGGTCACAGTGCTTCTGATGCAAGAATATCTAGTGGTAGTTCTTGGTGTGCTCCTGTCTCAGATGACAAACCTGATTATCTTCAGTGGACTTAGGAAGACAGTATTATATGTCTGATCTAGTAACATGTGGTGACAGTACGGGGACACCAATTTGGTGTTTATTTACACTGACAGAGTAAACTTAAACCATCCTAGGTTATTTAACGCTGCTTTGGTGTAAATCCGTTTGCCTCTGTGGGGACACCAATTTGGTGTTTATTTACACTGAGAGAGTAAACTTACACCATGCTAGGTTATTTAACGCTGCTTTGGTGTAAATCCGTTTGCCTCTGTGGGGACACCAATTTGGTGTTTATTTACACTGAGAGAGTAAACTTACACCATGCTAGGTTATTTAACGCTGCTTTGGTGTAAATCCGTTTGCCTCTGTGGGGACACCAATTTGGTGTTTATTTACACTGAGAGAGTAAACTTACACCATGCTAGGTTATTTAACGCTGCTTTGGTGTAAATCCGTTTGCCTCTGTGGGGACACCAATTTGGTGTTTATTTACACTGAGAGAGTAAACTTACACCATGCTAGGTTATTTAACGCTGCTTTGGTGTAAATCCGTTTGCCTCTGTGGGGACACCAATTTGGTGTTTATTTACACTGAGAGAGTAAACTTACACCATGCTAGGTTATTTAACGCTGCTTTGGTGTAAATCCGTTTGCCTCTGTGGGGACACCAATTTGGTGTTTATTTACACTGAGAGAGTAAACTTACACCATGCTAGGTTATTTAACGCTGCTTTGGTGTAAATCTGCTTGCCTCTGTGGGGACACCAATTTGGTGTTTGTTTACACTGAGAGAGTAAACTTACACCATGCTAGGTTATTTAACGCTGCTTTGGTGTAAATCCGCTAGCCTCTGTGGGGACACCAATTTGGTGTTTATTTTCACTGAGAGAGTAAACTTACACCATTCTAGGTTATTTAACGTTGCTTTGGTGTAAATCCTCTTGCCTCTGTGGGGACACCAATTTGGTGTTTATTCACACTGAGAGAGTAAACTTACACCATGCTAGGTTATTTAACGCTGCTTTGGTGTAAATCTGCTTGCCTCTGTGGGGACACCAATTTGGTGTTTATTTACTCTACTGTGGTTTATCATGATGTTGTTTTCATCTTCTGTACTTGTACGATTATTTATTACACATTTAAACATTATATTTTGTACTTTTTCTTATAGCTTTCTTTCCAGACAAACCAACAAACCTCACCGTCACTAACATCACGTCTAGAAGTGCTGAAATATCCTGGCTAGATCCTGATAATAAAGGGACATATGGTCTTTTATCCTTTCGGATAGAGCTGAAGAAAGAAAACTCTCTAATCCTGAACATTACCACAGGAAGAGTGAATAAATATAAAATAAATAATCTCACTCCGTATACTACATATGAAATATCTGTAGCTGCTGGAAATTCTTCTTACGGTTTTGGTGAAGAGAGCAATACTTCGTTCTTAACATCTGAAGAAGGTGAGTGTTAAAAGATGTGTGTTTTACTGCAAGTCAAAACACGGTTCTTTTAACATTTATGCAACAAAATGTCTACTTCAATTAGTACATAAAATTTCAATAAAAACATCGGTTTGTATTATACACTTCAGCTCCGAGCAGTCCTCCATTGAACATCAGAACCACATCAAGAAATGCATCGTCATTGTCTTTCGCTTGGGATCCTCCTGACACAACTAAACAAAATGGCGTCATTATCAGTTATACAGCGTGTATTTCACATTCAGAAAATGGCCCTTGCTTTCACACATTTATTACAAGTGAAAGGAGATGGCTTTTTGTTAATTTGAATCCATTAACAAAATATTATGTTCGTGTTCTTGCAAGTACTAAAGCTGGTCATGGAAACTACAGTGAAAGTAAAGGAATTTTTACGAGCGGAAGTAAGTGATCTTATGTGAACGCGTTCTAACACACTTCATTGCCTTTGCCAGGTTTGTTTTAACGTCCGTCTATCTGTCAGCCGAAAAACTTTGTAGAACCATTGGCATGCATTAGCTCGGTCAGTAGACGAAGGTCAAATCGATCAAATTTTAGATGATAAATTCATCTAAACGATAAAAGTTGGATAAGATAAATTGAAAAAGATTGTCTTGCTTTCCGAGTCGAAAGGAATGAATATTTTACTTTCGCTGGCAATAAGCGCACTGTGCTGTAGTTTATCACGATATTATATTTGAACATCAGTATCTGCCTCTGATCTTTTCTACCTGTGTATACGATTATTTATTACACATTTAAACATTATATTTTGTACTTTTTCAGAGATAGTTTTGTTACCTATAAATCTTACCATCATTAACATCAAGTCTAGAAGTGCTGAAATATCTTGGCCAGATCCTAAAGATTATGAAAGATTTGGTGTTTCACGCTTTTGGATCAAACTGAAGAAAGAAAACTCTCTAATCCTGAACATTACCACAGGAAAAGTGAATAAATATGAAATAAATAATCTCACTCCGTATACTACTTATGAAATATCTGTAGCTCCAGGAAATGATTATGGTTTTAGTAAAGAGAGTATTACTTCGTTCTTAACATCTGAAGAAGGTGAGTTATAAAAGATATGTGTTTTTGAAAGGCAAAACGTGGTTGCTTTATACGCTCAACATCTACTTCAGTTAATACACAAAATTTAAATAAAAACATCTCTTTATATAACACTTTAGCTCCGAGCGGTCCTCCATTGAACATCAGAACCACATCAAGAAGTGCATCGTCATTGTCTTTTGCTTGGGATCCCCCTGACACAACTAAACAAAATGGCGTCATTATCAGTTATACAGTGTGTATTTCACATTCAGAAAATGGTGCTTGCTTTCAGACATTTAATACAGGTGTAAGGAAGTGGCTTGTTATTAATTTGAATCCATTATCAAAATATTATGTTCGTGTTCTTGCAAGTACTAAAGTGGGTCATGGAAACTACAGTGAAAGTAAAGGACTTTTTACGAGTGGAAGTAAGTAATCTTATAAACGCGCTCTTGCACACTTCATTACCTTTGCCAGGTTTGTTTTAACGTCCGTCTATCTGTCAGCCAGATAACGTTGTAGAACCATTGACATTGGCTCGGGCAGTAGACCATGGTCAAATCGATCAAATTTTGGCTGAATTAAGATGAAAGTTGGATCAGATATTTTGTAAGAGATTCTCTTGCTTTCCGAGCCGAAAATAATGAATAAGTAATTGATGCATAATTTATTAATTAGATCTTTTACTTTTGCCGGCAAGGGAAGGGCAATCTACTGTAGTTCATCATGACATTATTTTTTGTATAGTGATTATTTATTATACGTTTAAACATTATAATTTTACCTTTTTCAGATCTAGTTTTGTTACCTGTAAATCTTACCGTCACCAACATCAAGTCTAGAAGTGCTGAAATATCTTGGCAAGATCCTAAAGATCATGAAAGATTTGGTGTTTCACGCTTTTGGGTTATACTGAAGAAAGAAAACTCGCTAATCCTGAACATTACCACAGGAAAAGTGAATAAGTTTGAAATAAATAATCTCACCCCAGATACTACATATGAAATATCGGTGGCTGCTGAAACTGATTATTATGGTTTTGGTGAAGAGAGTATTACTTCGTTCTTAACATCTGAAGAAGGTATGTGTTAAACGGATAAGCCTTTTTGAAAGGCAAAACATGGTCCCTTTATACACTTAACATGTCTATTTCAGTTAATACATAAAATTTCAATAAAAACATCTGTTTATTTATACACTTTAGCTCCGAGCGGTCCTCCATTGAATATCAGAACCACATCAAGAAGTGCATCGTCATTGTCTTTCGCTTGGGATCCTCCTCATACAACTAAACAAAATGGCGTCATTGTCAGTTATACAGCGTGTGTTTCACATTCAGGAAATGGTCCTTGCTTTCAAACATTCACTACAAGTGAAAATAAGTGGCTCGTTATTGATTTGAACCCATTAACAAAATATTATGTTCGTGTTCTTGCAAGCACTAAAGTTGGTCATGGAAACTACAGTGAAGGCGTAGGATTTTTTACGAATGGAAGTAAGTACAGCGTAGAATGGAAGTAAGTAAAGTTTAACTTTAAAAAATCGGTATTTACTTGAAACGAAGTATTATTGTCAAGAAATACTTTTTACTTGTAACGAAGTACGATTTTTAACTTCGTTACTATTCGTTTTGTCCGCGAAGTTAAAAAAAAGTTGTCAATGGTGGGACTGAAAATCTGTCTAGAGTGGAGAGATTGCCTGTCTGTCTGTTGGTTAAAGTTCAGTTCAGTGATATCAAAGTATATACCGGGGCGTAGGAAGCATCAAAAGATTGGGAGGGGGCACCGGCTTTCGGGGACACTTGGGATATCAAAAAGCCTAAAAAAGGACACCTGAAAATTTTTTCCCGGAAAGGTTGGCGACGGAGGCGGGTTGGGAAAGGGGAAAGTTTTTCCCGTCTATACCATACCGAAATTGCACGTTTTTAACCGTTTTCCACATTCAAGTAAAATTTTCAGACAATACTTTCCCTTTACCTTTTATGTCATAACTTCGCTGAACATTGTTGATAACAGTTCACTTTTTCCTACAGAACCGGCTGAGAAGGCCATAGCTAAAACATCGAGTACACTTACATTTTCATTGAAAATTCCATCAGAAACTTTTGTGTAAGTATGTTAGTATGACTCTCTGATATAGTGTTGCAGATAAGTACTTATTATCTAGCAGGTATAATAATATCTCATTTGACATTTGGTTTATATGAAGAAGGCAAGTCTTGATTTATAGATATTTCTACGTGGTGGCTTTGAAATTAAAAGACGGCAAAGAGCCTGCATCATCTGACAGTTACCAGAACAACGAGTTAGTGACGTATGTCGAGGCGGAAAAATCGAGCAATCCGACACCTTATATTGCTGCGGTAGTTACATCCAGCGGTGTTGATGGAAACGTGTTTGTACTTGGTGACAGTAGAAATACAGACGATCGAAATTCGCGAAAACGGAGATCAACATCAAGTGATTATTTTAATGGTCCGTTGGAGCCTGGCACTAGTTATAGTGTTTTTCAAAGGATTATTATCAATGAAATGGTATGATATTGGGCTAGGGTGTGGGGGCAGCTGGCTGCAAACTTTCAGTTGAAGCGCACTGGTCATAAAATCGGCCTGGATTATGGAGCCAATGACGGCCATATTGCCATAGATATTGAGCGGGCATTGCAGGGAAAAGTTCAGGCAATAAAGGGGCAAATTGAAGCTTGCTAAAGGGGCATATTTGAGTTCACAATTTCTGCTGCGATATTAAGAGCAATTTTTTTCTTTTGATTGATGTAAACGAACAAAAACGAGCAAAACGTATTGTCACATATTTCGCTTAATACGTTATGACATCAATGTGTAGTTGGCTTGACAAATCAATAAATTAACAAATTATCGTCTTCTCTACTATAGGGTGAATATTATTCCACTGACTGGAGTCCTCCTTCAAAAACGAGCGAAGGTACAGGTATATTTCTTCCATATAATTTTTATTTGACATTGATCATTGGGTTAGATAAGTATAAGTTTAGTAATGTTAAAATCAATAAAAATAAATAAATGGAGTATGAATTTACAGTAACAGTATTTTGTCACAATTTTTATTAAATACACTCCAGGTATAATATTGCATTTTCAATTTTATTTAATATCAGACATGTCGTAAATTATTTAATACATGATGATATGATAATCTTCTTAATTAATCATATCTCAAACTCATTAAGAGGAGATTTTTTTGTATGTCACGTAACACGCGCTCAGAACTAATGCGTATAATATATCACTCGAGATTATGACTAAATTCAAAATTTTTATTTTTCGATACGTTTCTCAATCGGCAAACAAACTTAGAAAGTATGTTTAGTGCTTTATCTGAAAATAATGCTAAAATGAAGAGATTTTAGATGATACGCCAAAGAGAAAATGATGTCTGAAGTTCAGTAAGTTTTGCTTATATGACTGTAAATATGACGCCAATTTTAAAGCATCATTGATAATTGTATTTTAATTGACAATTTTTAACTATTATTTTATGTGTCTCAACCGGCAGATGCATTTAAAAAGGTAGCTAACTCTATAAACTAGAGAACAAAGGTAAAACAAAGTAATTTTGAGAGGAACGCCAAAACGATTTTAGGTTTTGAACACTTTTCATCGCAAATACGTGACATTGAAAAAAAATTGCCTCTTACAGGTAAACTACGTGAAGCGTTCCTCTTTTGAGTTTCTAAATTGATTGCAATTTTCCTCATTACTTTTGCAATTTAAAAAACACCCTTGCAAATCCCTTGAGGGAATGTTGCCAAAAAAAAATTCCTCAGTTCCTGTTAGAAGTTCTTAACTTCCTGTTACAAGTTCCTAACTTCCTGTTCTGTTCTGGGCGTTGCAATTGGCTAACAAAAATAATCGACCAATAACAACGCTCAGAACAGAACAGGAAGTTGGGAAATTAAAACAGGAAGTTAGGAAAATTTAAAATGAAGTTTGGAATATTGCAACAGCCGATGGGAACATTGCAAATTCCCTCAAGGGATTTGCAAAGAGTTTTTTAAATTTGCAAGGCTAATGAGGAAAATTCCAAATGAGTTACGAAGTCAAAAGAGGAACGCTTCACGTAGTTTACCTGTAATAATTTATGAGTAAATTAGCCTACCATATTAGTTTAATTTGCTCACATGATAATACTGGATATTTGCATGCATGGTGAAGTATATTGTTCCACTCCTAGGATTGGATTGAAATTAACGCAGTCCCATAAGACTGGCCATGGATCAAAATTAATTCACCTCACTTCCAGGTTATCTTGATACGCAGAAAAGTACTGGCACTAGTTGTCAAATAGAAATCCATTTTATGATTAAAACAACTGAATATCTCCTGTAATATACTTTATTTCGATTCCATATTTTTGTCAGAGCTATAGTTCTCATAACCAAACATAATTACAAAATTTCAACTAGTTTCATGAAGAATAATGAAAGATATAATTGACTGAATACATCAAAATGGATTTCTATTCGGACAACCCTTTCTGAGCGCTGATTGGCTAAAATACGAACACGAGATCACCTGGTTTATAAGTAGTGATTTATTCGTATGAGATGTAATTATTTGAAATCCGACTGGACTAGATTTCAAGTCCGCGTAATTAGATGAAGTCCGAGGCGAAGTCGAGCACTGGATGAAAATGCGACGACTTGAAATCTACTCCAGTCCGAATTGGAGGATTTGAAATACTACTTCAAATTTCAGGTCAAGGTGACACGGACGACAACGGTGATGGTTCTAAGAACTATCTTATTGGAATGACAGTAGCAATATTGGTGGTCATTTTAGTTGTTATTATCGCTTTATATTTTATCTGTCAAAATCGTCGACGCAAATCATCAAGTACCGAAGCAAATGTGGAGAAGACGAATGAAGTAAGTGCTCCACATTATATTGATGATGATGTCAGCAATTATGAACAAATAGACGATGAACAGTCTACGTATACAGATCTCAATAGGTCTGGTGAAGTAATTGATGATCATGTATATGGTCATTTATACGAGATAACACAAAATATGCGCGCAGATCAGGAAACTGGATTCTAATGTTTTATCACTGCATAGTTAATCAAGATATGGTCTGCCGTAAATTTCAAAATGTCTACAATGAACTAGGATTTTATGTTGGAAACACAGCTTCATTAAGAATAAATCTTCTCAACTTTTGCTTGTTAATAGAGACATACAGAGACGTAACTAGTGTACCCACTTTTTTGTGCGCATGCTCGGCAGGTTTCTAGATGCATGCATCTGATTGGATGACGACCTGATGACGACTCACTTTAAACTTGCTGAGCACCCGCAGTTGATCATTTTTTTGCTCGGTCGCCTGAAAAAAGGTGGTACATGAAAACGTAATCTTCCGCAGTGTTTACAACGGTCAGTTACGTTTCTGTATGTCTCTACTCTGTCTTAATTTTTCGACTGTACGTTTGAGTGTGCCATTGGATGATTGCTTCACTGTTATGCCAAAAAATCAATGTCTCGACCGTGCACAAATTTACATAGAAATAAACAAAAAATGAAACAAATTTAAAACTCTCTCCAGATCATATCTTCATTGACTATGGTTTAGACAAAAACTTGTTCTTCGTTGTCTGATTTTGCTCAGCAATTCCGTGCAATGAAATGTAGATGAATCAATTTTGTAATAATAATACAATAAGGTAGCAGACGTAATTGATACTAATAACCAATTGATGTATTCTAATTAAGGACTTCGAATTAATTAGCCAAGGAGCGTGCGTAATAATTAAGTAGACTTAATTGCTTAATTGATACTAATAACTAATCGATATATTCTAATTAACAACTTGGAATTAATTAGCCAAGGACCATTAAGCAGACATAATTGATACTAATAACTAATCGATGTATTCTAATTAAGGACTTGGAAGTAATTAGCCAAGAACCGTGCGTAATAATTAAGCAGATGTAATTGATACTAATAACTAATCGATATATTCTAATTAAGGACTTGGAATTAATCAGCCAAGGACCGTGCGTAATAATTATGTGCCTAATAAAGCGGACATTTTTTTTCATTCAATTTGAAAAGCACCACCGACTTTCGATAAAGATTTATCTAATTTTGTTTCGCTACATTGGTCCATTTCGTCTTCCGCATTCACAACGTAAGTGTTTATTTACATCATGTATCAAAATTAGAAGTCGATTTCCTGGTTTAAAGAAGATGTTTCCAAAGTGTTTTCATTCTGCGATGTTGGTTGTCGTGTCCTTACAATTGAAAGGTATAAGTCTTTTTATGATCCTGCATTTATAACGTGCTGAATTAATCATAAGAAGACAGAGATTACTTCAAAACTACATTGTAAATTCAAGAGAGTCAAAGTTAACGATCTCAAAAGAGTCGTTCTGCGGTGGAACGACTTTCGGGGTCAAACGACTCTGGAAAGAATAGTATACACTGTTAGTTAATCTTGAACTCTGTGCCAGTGTAGGCAGTGCCATTGTGCCAGCAATATGAACAAGCTTTCGTTGGTAGGGATGCAATTAAACTGCCTGAAAAATACAAGGAGAATTTCGACGTTTCGAGCGAAGGCTTTTCGTCTGGAGCGTACTCAGTATCACAGCATGATGCACGTATTGTCATATCTGCATGAGAACAATTAAAATAATAAAATCTTAGCTCTGTCCAAATATATGAAGTGTACTTAGAAAATTAAGAGGAAATTTGACAGATAATCCAGTATTTAGCATATTCATGTTAAAACATACACAGCTTTCCCTTACCTGTTAGCTAAAGTTTTAAGACGAAGCGTTGTAAAAATATTACTCGCATGCATGATTAACTTTCTGACTGATAACTGTTACCATCTAACCAGAACCAGAATAGACATCAAGGGAGACCTTTTGTCTTGAGCATGTTTGGTATATTATTATTCAATTTGAAATGCACTACAGACTTCATGCCGAGTTTCAATAAAGATTCATCTGATTTTAATTGTTTCGCTACATTGGTTCATTTCGTCTTCTGCATCTCAAAATTAGAAGTCGATTTTCTGGATCAAAGAGGATGTTTCCAAAGTGTTTTCTTTTTGTGATGTTGGTCGTCGTGTCCTTACAATTTAAAGGTATAAGTCTTTTTGTGATCCTGCATTTATAACGTGCTGAATTAACCATAAGAACGATAGAGATTATAGTTTAGAATAGAATAGAATAGAATGCATGCACTGTCAGATGCCTTTTACAAATTTCAAATTCATTCAAAATCATTGGTCACGTTTCAAAATCATCACGACATACCTACCTAATTGTATGAATATTTTATAACTGCACAATCCATAAGCCGAGTCTGCCAGTCCAGAGCTTAAGAAACGGGTGGGTTTGATCTCTTTTATTGCACACATTGTTTAATTAATTTAAATATTTTAGCTAGATTAATTGAATTATTAAAGAATTTCTCACAGCAAATGTTATCACAGCACATTTTTAGTTTATCACTGCGGTACTTCTGCGGTACACTAATTGTTTATCACTGCATGCGGCACGAAAATTAGGCATGCATCACGATTTCACCTCGCGTTTTATAATATTATAACTAATTTCGAGTGTTGAACATGATATCTCACGAGTGAGTGCAGCGAACGAGTGATATATCATGTTCAACACGAGAAATAAATCTGGCATTTCCAAGCGCCCATGTATTTTTCTGTTTATTATATAAACAAAATTGAAAAACAATAAAACATCCGTGCCAATTCGTTTTACAACAAGTTCTCTGATTGGTGTTTGCAAAAATGATATTTTCACACGTAAAAATATCGTATTTTTTACGTGTGTTTAAATACGATTTTTCTCAGTGGCCAAAAACTCTATATAACACTTATGTTTATATAATAAAAAGATTTATTACATGCTTATATATATACTCTGTCAAAGTTTATGTGTTTACTTTGACCAAAGCATAAAATGATGCTCTGGCCACAGGCGGAATGTTTTAAACATGAGATCTGCAGTCAAGGATTTCCAACTTTTTTGTCAATAGCCGATAACCCTGAAAATATGATTAGAACGGATATTTACAGAATACAGCGCAGCCGCTAAGAAAAAACTCACAGAGAATAATAATTTTAGAGAGTAGTAATTTTATTTTTGCATTGTTTTCCAGGTACAGCTTGTTTCTTTGTGAAATGGTTTTGGGGCTTTGCTTTTCCAGGACAGTGTATGAGCGACACAGGTCAAATACAGTCAAACGGCAGTTGGGGAAACTTGTCTTTTGTACGAGTTTCCGACAACAGCTGTCTGGATCCAGCTGCTCAGTTTCGGTTTCGTGATAATGGTGCCATGTTGAATCTAAAAAGACAGGGATGTCTCGCTGCTCTTCGTAGGAATGGTTCTGGTTATAATCTTGATATGTTTTATCTTTACGTTGACTCAGTCAGTTTAGACACAGCTGCTTGCGCTCAGAAGCCTAACGAGAGCATCTATCGTGCTATAACCCAGACTCCTGAGGGAAGGTTATCTGTTTATTATAAAGGGAAAGATAAGACTTCATTTCAAACCTGGTGTGCAGTCCGTTCCCATAAAGCAATTACACCTGAACTTTATCAAAAATATGGAGGAAATTACATAGGAATGAGCACACCATGCGGTCGTTCCATCTATGGTTATCAGGTATTCATTTTCGGTAAGTATTTGTTAAATATTTTCTAATGTCTGAAGACGTTGTTGCCTAGAGTTTTATATTATATTAAATGAAACAATACTATATCTTTTCTTTTCACTCAATCTATTTATTTGGTTAGAGTCCACGATTTCAAGTAAATGTCCGTACATAAAACACAAAAAGGTGTATATACTAGCATCGGAAATTTACGAAGTTTAACATTGAGTGAGTTTAACGAATGTCTACGACCATAGTTAATAGAGGAGATGGTTTGGAAACTTATTAGCATTACAATAAACCTCACTATCTATGTTTTTGTTCAGGTTTATGCAAAAATGTGGTCTTTCATCGTCACGTGCGTATTGTATTTTTGCTCAACCAGCCAATAGCAACGCTTTTATCCAATTGCTCATCCATGACTTTAACAATAGGACATTTTGAACATTCCTATTGGTTGACTTGAGAAAAATACAATACGCACTTGACGATGAAAGACCACATTTTTGCATAAACCTGAACAACATAGATAATGAGGTTTATTGTGATTTTATTGTAATGCTAACGAGTTTCCAAACCATCTCCTCTATTAACTATGCTACGACGTAATACGAGGCTTGCGGTTCTGTTTCGGCTTAATCATAGTTAAGTGGAAATGTCATCCAATAAGAAGCGCCTATTTGTCTCAATTTGAGAGTTAATCACTATTTAACTACAAAATAGTGATTAAAGAAGTGATTAAGAGTTTTATACAACCGGCCCCAGGTGAAAAATATAAGCTCTTGACGCAGGGCGAATTATATCATTGTCATTGATATTGTGCTTAACGAGATAAAAATCATTTTTGTCGAATATATTACAGCCTGACACAGTTTTAAAATAGAAACGTCTGTTGTTCTATTAAAGGTTCAGTGACATGTCATGGTAATAAAGTGAAGAATGCCAACTGTCCTAAAGATCAATACATGGTGGTCAAGTTGGCAACTTACCGTGGATTGCACGCACCAAAGACATGTGGTTTAAGTGATGATTATAGTTGTGAAGTTGATGTAACATGTCTTGTTAAGAAACAATGTGATGGTCTACATGAGTGTAATATAACTGTGGATGACAATTTGTTCTCTGGTGGTCTATGTCCTGGATTGTCAAACTATCTTTACTTTGAATATCATTGTGTTGATACTGCAAAACCTTTTAAAGAACTTTGTGGTATGTATGGGTATAAGTATGATTCTATTGATGGTTAGCTGTGCACAAGACAGGTTTCCATAGCGTTTAACAAAATTCGACGTCGATTTAGCACGCACTTGTCATATGCTTGTTACTCGCACAGGCAGAGATACCCATTATAGCCTTACATGGCAAAATAACCAATAACCTTGTTTTGTTCGTGTTTTTGTAGTTCATGACGTGTCTCTATCATATTCGTCTATACCTTACGAAGGTATTGTACAAATTACCATTGATGGTGGGACCAAGAATGTTTGTTGGCAAAGTTTACAACAAAATGTCAACGCCCTAGACACTGTTTGTCAACAGCTGGCGGGCACTGGTTTCTACCACGTTCTAGTTAATATATCTACTCCGACGGATGCCAAAAATGCAACATTTTCTGGAAGTATAAACTGTAATTCTGACAGATACTTATCCCAGTGTTCAATTACTGCTTCGACCACCGCCGAAAGTTGTTCTGAGTTAGCATACATACAATGTAAGTGTGGTAAAATGAAACGAATAGAATGCAGAGATAAAAGAAAGGAGAGGAAAGAATATAAAAAGAAATAGAAAGTAAATAGTTAGAGGAAGAATGAAAGAACAACCTCATTGGGGTCAATCTGCATGATCGTTCATCAAAATCTAGAATGCTTAACTTTTTGTTTTCATATTTTAGGTGGTTACTGGTTGGAGACCTATTATAGAGCATATAAACCACTGTTAGAAGATAAGCGAAGATCTCCAGATTCGTTATTTAGTGCTAGTGCTTCTTCAGAAGGTCACAGTGCTTCTGATGCAAGAATATCTAGTGGTAGTTCTTGGTGTGCTCCTGTCTCGGATGAAAAACATTATCTTCAAGTGGACTTAGGAGGACAGTATTATGTCATGCTTCTCGCAACATATGGTGACAGTACCAGCCCAAAATGGGTGGCCTCGTATAACCTGAGTTACACCATTGACTTGGCCATGGTAAACTGGAAAACTAGAACCAGGGTGAGAAAGAATGATATAACTAACAATAATAATGTCATAACATGTACTTATTTAGCCTATTACTTGATTTCTCTTTGTTAACGATGCATTTCTCACTATTCGTATTTGTAGATTCAAGGAAATAAGAATGCTTACGATTATTTAGCGTGGGGTTCTTCACGTGTTGTCGCAAGAGCTTTACGATTCATTCCATTGACATACGTAGGTCAACCGTGTATGAGAGTTGAGGTTTGGGGTCAAAGTAAGTTACTGTACATAACTTAATTGTAGTTATATATTTCTTAATTCTCAACTCGCCCTCACACATTTTATTAACTCTGCCAGGAGGTTTGTCTTCACTTGCTTGCATGGGGACAGAATAAAAGGCACACAGAAAGTCGAGTCGTCGACTGCTGCTGCCACGCCATGATTCGTCATCAAAATGCTGACGCCATGGTCCTAGCCATTGCGCCTTTGAGAGGCATTCACGCCCTTGACGGCCGCCATATTGAATATTATCAGGGGGTGAATGTCTCTCATAAGCGCACTTGGTTAGGACCATGGCGTCAGCATTTTGATGACGAATTACGGCTACGCCGTCGCCAAAATCATAGGAAAACCAAGAATTCGACCTTCTGTTTGTCTCTATTCTGTGGCATGGGTTTGGTGTATGTGCGTTTCTATCTGTCGGCAGGAAAACTAAAAAACTATTAAACAGTTTAATACGAAATTTTGTTATGAACAGTTAAAGACCCCCCCCAATAAAAAAATGAAACCTGATCAGAGTAAAACAGTAATATGACGATTCTGCAGTGAACAAAATTAGCAACATTGTTGTCAATGAAATATTCCTTACGTTATATTATTAATTTAAACTGGGGAGCTTCAGCGCCTGTCACGGTTTTCACAAGGGAGGTGAGCTGTCCTAAGAATAGATTGAGATCTAGGAATGTTCGGTATGAGCATTTTGCGGCATCGGTATACCGGAAAAAGTATACCGATTTTATCATTTTTCGCCTTTTCAATGGACGATTTGCGCTTTAGAAAAAATTTAATCTGGGAATAACAAAGGATATTTTCGGAAAGAAGTTATCAAAATTAGAAAAACTGCAAAGTTTGGTTGCGAAATGTTGTAAAATACGGAAAATATAGCCCTGCGCAGTTGGCAAATTTGTATACATTTCTGTTACGTGCGGAAATTGGTAACTAATTTAGTTAATACCAATTCACGCACGTAATACAAAAGTATACAAATTTGCCAACTTTGAAGGGCTATATTTTCCGTATTTTACAACATTTCGCAACCAAACTTTGTAATATTACTAATTCCCAGACGCTCTTTCTACCTGTGGTGATAAATTTCGTTGTTCTTACTTAGATTAAAATTTAGTCTAAAGCGCAAGTCGTCCATTAGATAGGAAAATTCATTAGTGGAAAATGGAAATTTGAAGGAAATTTTGATTTTGAATAATTTCAAAAGTGGAAACACCATTTATGGTCCTCTATGTCTTGGTTAAAAAGCTATCGCCAGGTAGTTCGACTATGCTAATTTGCCGACGATTGTAGCCCTCACCAAATCATACAAACTGAAACAATTTTTGCAGTATTTTTTGTTGTCCAAATTCTTCAATTCGGTGGCAGAGAGTGCATGAAATGGCGTTTCCGATCATCAATTTTTCACATTTTTTCGGCCGGCTCCCTAGGCCTAGTTTTCAGCCCTACCAACTTTAACTATCTTTCTACGATCTTGCTGTGACAGTTCGGTCATGTTTTGCCTGTCGTATTGCGCTTGGCTGAAAACTACGGTGCCCAAATTAGCTGAAAATTGGCCTCCCCCAAACACCCGTTCGGCTGTCACTGCTGTTTTGCGGTATGTTCGATTCTCCTTTTACAATAATTTATTACACATTTCAAAATTCTATTTTTTTACTTTCCCCCATAGTTTTCTTACCAGACAAACCAACAAACCTCACCGTCACTAACATCACGTCAAGAAGTGCTGAAATATCCTGGTTAGATCCTAAAGATGAAGGACATTATGGTCTTGCAAGCTTTCGGATTAAACTGAAGAAATATAACTCTGTAATCTTGCACATGACCATAGGAAAAGTGAATAAATATAAAATACGTAATCTCACTCCAGATACTACTTATGAAATATCTGTAGCTGCTGAAACGTACCATTATGTATACGGATTTGGTGAAGAGACCAATACTTTGTTCTTAACATCTGAAGAAGGTGAGTGTTAAAGATGTGTGTTTTTCTGCCACGCAAAACATGGTTCCTTTATACACTCAACATCTCTATTTCAGTTACTATGTCAAATTTAAGTAGGCCTAAAAACATCTGTTTATACATACACTTTAGCTCCAAGCGGTCCTCCATTGAACATCAGAACCACATCAAGAAGTGCATCGTCATTGTCTTTTGCTTGGGATCCTCCTGACACAACTAAACAAAATGGCGTCATTACCAGTTATACAGTGTGTGTTTCGCATTCAGAAAATGGTCCTTGCTTTCAGACATTTGTCACATGTGAAAGAAAGTGGCTCGTTATTAATTTGAATCCATTAACAAAATATTATGTTCGTGTTCTTGCAAGTACTAAAGTTGGTCATGGAAACTACAGTGAAAGTAGAGAATTTTTTACAAGTGGAAGTAAGTAATCTTATGTACTCGCTCTCACACACTTCATTACCTTTGCCAGGTTTGTTTTGGTGTCCGTCTATCTGAATGTCAGCCGGATATTACGAAATCTTGGTATTGAACCAATGAACCATTGGCTGTGGAGCGCACTCTACTGTAGTTCATCATGATATTTTTTGTACATCAGTATCTGCCTCTTATCTTCTGTATTTGTACGATTATTTATTACACATTTAAACATTCGATTTTGTACTTTTTCAAATATAGTTTTGTTACCTATACATTTTACTGTCACTAACATCAAGTCTAGAAGTGCTGAAATATCCTGGCCAGATCTTAAAGATCATGAAAGATTTGGTGTTTCGCGCTTTTGGATCAAAGTGAAGAAAGAAAACTCCCCAATTCTGAACATTTTCACAGGAAAAGTGAATAAATATAAAATAAATAATCTCACTCCGTATACTACATATGAAATATCTGTAGCTGCTGGCAATGATTATGGTTTTGGTGAAGAGAGTAATACTTCGTTCTCAACATCTGAAGAAGGTGTGTTTTAAAAGATATGTGTTTTTCGGCAAGGTAGCCTGTGTACAGACGCTATTCGTGGAGAGTAACGTCTGTAAAACATGGTTCCTTTATACACTCATGCAAAATGTCTGCTTCAGTTAATACATAAAATTTAATTAAAAACTCTTGTTTTATATACACTTTAGCTCCAAGCGGTCCTCCATTGAACATCAGAACCACATCAAGAAGTGCATCGTCATTGTCTTTTGCTTGGGATCCTCCTCATACAACTAAACAAAACGGCATCATTATCAGTTATACAGCGTGTGTTTCACATTCAGAAAATGAGCCTTGCTTTCTGACATTCATTACAAGTAAAAGGAGATGGCTTGTTGTTAATTTGAGTCCATTAACAAAATATTTTGTTCGTGTTCTTGCAAGTACTAAAGTTGGTCATGGAAACTACAGTGAAAGTAAAGGATTTTTTACGAGTGGAAGTAAGTACAAGTCCCATGTCGTATGTTGTAAATATCGCTATTTTCCGGTTTGTGGTCCCATAAGAAAAAAGTTGTTCAGAACTTTACATTTACCATTTGGATCAGTTACTTTATGCACGTTTTAGATAACAGTTCACTTTTTCCTACAGGGCCGGCTGAGAAAGCCATTGCTGAAACATCAAGTACACTCACATTTTCATTGAAGATTCCATCAGAAACGTTTGTGTAAGTATATCTGACTTTTCCATGCGGATAAATAGTTGATAATTACTATATAATATATTATTTGGTTTATATGAAGAAGGCAAATTTTGATTGATAGATATTTCTACGTGGTGGCTTCGAAATTAAAAGACGGCAAAGAGCCTGCATCATCTGACAGTTACGAGAACAGCGAGTTAGTGACGTATGCCGAGGCAGGAAAGTCGACCAATCCGAAACCTTATATTGCTGCAGTGGTTACATCCAGCGGTGTTGATGGGAACATGTTTATACTTGGTGATGGCAGAAATACAGATAATCCAACTACACGAAAACAGAGGTCAACTACAAGTGATTATTTTAATGGTCCGTTGCAGCCTGGCACTAGTTATAGTGTTTTTCAAAGGATTATTATCAATGAAATGGTATGTATTGGGGTGGGGCAGCAGACTTTCAGTTCAAGCAAACGAAAGGGAAAATTGAAGCGTACTCATGGGGGCAAATTTGAGTTTACACTTACAATTTTTGCTGCGATTTTAAGTCCGATTTTTTCTTCTCATTGATGTGAACGGGCAAGTGAGTTGAGAATGTTCTAAGTATCTGAATATTCATAACTCATCCATTCGTTCACATTCATCAAACAAGGAAAATCACAACAAAAATTTGCAAGTGTAAACGAGGGTTAAGAAAGAAAAACAAAAACGAGCAAAAAGTATTGCCACATATTCCCCTCAATACGTTATGACATCAATGTGTAGCTGGCTTGACAGATGAATAAATTAATAAATTCTCGTCTTCTTTATTATAGGGTGATTATTATTCCACTGACTGGAGTCCTCCATCAAAAACGAGTGAAGGTACAGGTTTATTTCTTCCATATAATTTTAATTTGATATCGATTATTGGGTTGGATAAGTAAGTTTAGTCATGATAAAGTCAATGAAAATGAATAAAAGCAGATTGGAGTAGGAATTTACAGTAACAGTATTTTGTCACAATTTTTATTAAATAGATACAGGTATAGTATTGCATTCCAGCTTTATTTAAGATCACACATGTTGTAAATTATTAATAATTCATGAGTAAATTAGCCAACCATATTACTTTATTTTGCCCACATGATAATACTGGATGAAACATATTGATCCAGTCCTAGGACTGAATCAAAATTAATTCACCACACTTGTAGTGATTTATTCGTATGAGATGTAACATTTGAAATCCGACTATGAGGACTGGACTAGATTTCAAGTCAGCGTAATTTGATCAAGTCCGAGGCAAAGCCGAGTATTGGATCAAAATGCGAGGACTTGAAATCTAGTCCAGTCCGAATTGGAGGATTTGAAATATTACTTCAAATTTCAGGTCAAGTTCCAAGTGACGTTCCAGACACGGACGACAATGATGATGGTTCAAAAAACTATCTTTTTGGAATGATAGCATTAGCAATATTGCTGGTCATTGTAGGTACTATTATCGCTTTATATTTTATTTGTCAAAATCATCGACGCAAATCATCAAGCACTAAAGCAAATGTGGAGAAGACAAATGACGTAAGTAATTCACAATATATTTATGATGATGTCGGCAATTATGAACAAGTAGACGATGAACAATCGACGTATACAGGTCTCAATAGGCCTGGGGAAGTAATTGATGATCATTTGTATGCTCATTTAAATGACGTAACACAAAATATGTACGCAGATCAGAAGGAAACTGGATTTTAATGTTTTATCAATGTATAGTCAATCAAGATATGGTCTGCCGCAAATTTCAAAGTGTCTACAACGAACTAGGATTTTATGTTGGAAACACAGCTTCACTATGAATAAATCTTCTCAACTTTTGCTTGTTAATATTTTCACTGTACGTTTGTGCCATTGGATGGTTGCTTCACTGTTATGCCAAAAATCAATCTCTCTACTGTGCACAAATTTACATAGAAATAAACAAAAAAATGGAACAAATTTAAAACTCTCTCCAGATCATATCTTCATTGACTATGCTTTAGACAAAAAACTTGTTCTTCGTTGTCTGATTTTGCTCGGCAATTCTGTGCAATGAAATGTAGATGAATCAATTTTGTAATAATAATACAATAATGTAGCAGACGTAATTGATACTAATAACTAATTGATATATTCTAATTAAGGACTTGGAATTAATTAGCCAAGTACCGTGCGTAATAATTAAGCAGACGTACGTAATTGATACTGATTACTAATTTCAACTAATTACAGTGTTCTAATAACGCATTGAGTCTGGGAAAGTTTGATGGTCAATCCATGTGTATATGTACTTAATGTGTATTGTTACTAATGGAGTGAGTGCTAAATGTTTCCATTACTCTCTGACAGTTGTTTTCCTTCCAGAAATTACACTTTCACATGTACTTGGCGAAACACATCCATATGAATATTATCGTAATCATTGTCTCGGCAACCAACGCGCAGCACTCCGATATCTTGGCATTACCATTATCAGATCCATATGAAATTGAAAGTGTCTCACAGTAGAACTCGACAAACTTCTACTTCGAGCCAAACTGTCCTTGACTAACTTTGTTTGAGATCAAATCCAAGCAAAGCTTCGGCGATGGCAGTTGTTAAAGATAATAATTGAAAAGGTCTGTGTTTTACAATTTCTTCAGCGTATGGTAATGAATCCGTTATGAAGAAATTTTCAAAAGGAACATCTGATGCCGTGAATCGTTTCCAGGACTCTTGTGGAAACACGCCATGAGTGACGTAAGCACTAATTTTGGTCGCCCCAGCTTTCTTCAGGGCCTAAATTTTTGGAACAAAAATTTCACAAATTTGACCGGAAAGACAAATATCAATATCATCTCTGCCCCATGCCCCTTTCTATAACACTTGGCATTAATACTGCCATCCAATTATGTTGTCATTGTTTTTTCATTGTTTTGAAAATCCCGCTGTTCAGTCAATTAATTGATCCAGTGATCAGAATGTTCCATTGTCTTTTCATTGTTTTGAAAATCCCACTGTTCTTCATGCCATCCAGTATTCCGAATTAGCGTTATCAATCTTCCACCTCGTTTCCTACAGAATGTGGGCGAAAATTGGACCCAGATTACAAATTTTCCTACTCAATTTAGTCGAGCTCGTTTTTGGACTCATTTACAAATGAAAAGTTAGACAAATTCTCATATGCGCGCACCTTGGCACATTCTAAAATAGTTCCTCCCGTTTTGATGAGATCATCCACAATGATAACATGTCGGGAATCTGGCTCACCTGTAATGATCAAAGAAATAAACTATTTGTTTTTGTCCAAAGAATTAAAACCGTATGTAGTTATTTCGCAAACCTCTCGGTCTGTGAGCTTGGAAAGGAACGCCGTGAACCCCGTTGATCACAAGGCTCAAAACCTACCGTCTTTAATTTTTACAATTCGTTTGTTTCCCTCCCTTTGTTTGATGCAAATGATGGTTGGATATTCTTCGAATTGCGTATGAAAACGCTTGAACGCTCCTTCGTCAGGGAAGGCGATACTGATCTTCTCTTTGTCAGGAAACGTCTTCAGTTTCGCAAGTAAAAGAGGAATGGCAGTTTCTAACCTGTTTTTAAAGAAACAATGACAACAAGGGAGGATTAAAGTCTGTAGTAGGTTTCTTGTCCCTCTAATATATTTCTTGTCCCTCTAACATGGAATTTGCCAATCTCGTTCCCCGAGCCTGCGATCCTCGGGAAAGGGCGTGAGGCTCTGGGATAATCCGTTGCCGGAAGCCAGGAATTCTGGCTAAGATTGAACAGCGCATTCCATATCAACGGCCAATCAGATTCCTCCTTGAAACGGATTATCCCAGAGCTTCGCGTTCCTTCCCGAGGATCGCAGGCTTGAGGAACGAGATTTGGGATTTGCGCGACTAGACGCAGGACTTTGGGAAATGACTAATTGTCCTCTAGATTACTAGAAACACTGGATATCAAGTAAAAATAAAGTTAGTTTAGGCCATTGGCCCATCAGTGTGCAAGCATCTTCCTTGACAAGTAAAATGTCTGGCGTTAGACTGAGTAAAATAATAAAGTTTTGTGCATTTGGGCACATTGCAGCATAATGATTAATGAGTTAAGTACTAGATAAAGATACGAGGCGAAGCGGAGTATCTTTAGGTCCGATAAAACACGCACTGCGAATCAGTTTTAAATAGCTTCAAAAACGATCGATCTAGTAAGTTCATTGGCGAAGTAATTTTCAAAAAATACGTGTCGTTGTGTAAGTCTAGAAAAATCGAAGTTAAAGTTTATGTAAATCAAGGGAAATCTCTATCACAAATAAAGGACATAATCACATAAAGATACGACATGCTTATGATTTTTCTTTGTGTTTTATCATGAGTTATTAATGCGTTTTTGCAGTTAAATTATATACCTTGGAATAACGTCATCTGAAAAATAAAATCGTTCCTGCAAACAATGGATGTCGTAGATAACAACTTGCGCGGGACCACGCGCTGTTAGTGGGATTGACGAAATCATTCTTGATAATGTCTAAAAATATTTAATATTGAGATGACAAGTGACTTGCTAATTCAAGGGAGAAATAGTTTCAGTTCTATAAAAGAAACCTTTGCCGTGGCTATTTGGCCTTCTTTATCTACTCGTTCCATTGTTCCTGTGGGGAAGTATGGCAGGATGAATGTGAATGATCTGGCCAGATACCTGAAAAAATAATACAAACCATTAAATTAAATTCTACTAGGGGGGGGGGAGCTTATTGCAAGGGTAGCTTATTGCTTATTGTCTGATAGTGGGGTCCCAGGTTCAGGGTGTAACCATTAGGCACTAATTCGTAGTCTTTCTTGACAATTTCAAAATCATGTTACAATCTATAATTTTTCTCTCTAATTTTACTTTTGAGTCCAAATTGAAAATGAGGGGTGTAACCCCCCCCCCCCCCCCCCCCCCCGGTATGCACCACTCAGCAAAACCATGCATTTATACCTTGGGATGTTGTAAACAATAGATAACTGCTCAAAAACAACTTCTGGAGAGTGAAAGCTTCCAAGAAAAATAACTAGAAAAAACAAATTAAGGTAAAAATAAGCTGACCATGCATGTAACAGTGGCCTAGCTTGTCACTTTGCAAATCGCATGTTAGTATATATGTTACTGATTGGGTTGCCACTCATAAATGGCGGACATGCATGGCCTGGTCACATAATTTGAAAAGGACTTTGCGGAAGTCTAAAAGGCCAGTTGTTTTACCATCTCTCCCTGCGCAGTTATCTTTGACGTTTTCAATGAAGAGATTTGGCCAGCCATCTTCAAATGATTTCCACTGAATGTCGTGTTTTAGATTCACTGCTTTGCCTCCAGACTTGCACTAGACAAGATTTTTGAAACTATTTAAAAAATTGTCAAACCAATCTTGTACCTGGCAGTGATTGTTAGCCTGTTTGCAAATTAGGTGAGTTTAGACACTGGGTAAAATAGAATAATAAAGTAGGGTGCATCGGGGCACAAGGTGACTCAATGGGTTAACTAGACACATGGTCAGATAATCCATTCAGGGGCAGCGCTCTCCCCCTTGACAAGTGAAATCGTCTGGCATTAGACAGAGCAAAATAATAAAGTAGGGTGCATCTGGGCACATTGCCACTTAAAGGGTTAACCCATTTGAGCTCCAGCACTCTCCCCTTAATGAGTGAAATTGTCTGGCATTAGACAGCGTAAAATAATAAAGTAGGGTGCATCTGAGCACATTGCCACTTAAATGGGTAACCCATTTGAGCACCAGCACTCTCTCCTTGACGCGTACAATCGTCTGGCATTAGACAGTATAATAATTGCATTGGGGGTGTAATGGGATAATCAACTTTCACTTTTCAAATTGCAGTTGCCAGACTACTAAAATCCCTTTCTGACTCGAATAACTCCAGATGAATAAATTACGTTGCAGTCATAACCAACCTGGCAATGTTCCGCAATGGATTTGGCCAATTTTTCCATGGAATTATGATAAAATAAAACAGAGCCAACATCATTCTCCATTTTGCTCACATAGAAACAGAAACAGAAACACTAACAATAAATTATTTTTACTTTCACAATTTAAATTAGAAAGTGACAATGTCAACAATATTGCCCCTCCCCCCTCGGCAAGGGCTACCCTTCATGAAACCCTCCATTCACACCCTTGAAGTGTTTAATCACACCTCAACTGTAATAATAAAATTCTCTAGTAACAGATTTCACCCCTATTTGTACATTTCTCTATCCCCACAATAACTTTAAGAAGGCACCCCTCCCCTCCCCTCCCCCCTAAAGGATATGGTCTAAATATAGACTCGGCTCTTTCTTTCATGCCAAGAGTTATCCTCGAAAACAGGAATCGTGGGTAGTTTTCAAAAAAAAAATTCTAAATTTTGAAACTTTGAGGAATTTAAGAGGAAGATTCGAAGACCTAATATGATTTATGAAGACTTGATATTGGTCTAAATTAATATGAATAAACCTCAAAGTGCAGGAAAGAGCCAATTGTCAATTTTTTTCAGGTGTTTGTGAATGCCTGATTGCCTGGCAATCTCATTGAGAAAACTAAGGAATTGTTTATAGGAAAAGTAAGGAATATTTCTGGGATACTTTTAAATTTTAATTCATGTGTACAACGTGGAACAAAACAACTTTGCAAGTTTATTCAATTTTGGGCCAAAATATTTCACAAAATTTCGGTTAAATCACCGCAGCATTCGTACAGGAAGCTAGCATAGTGTTAGAAGCGTGTATTTGAAAGTTATACGGGTTTGAAACGCGTTGCAAAGGTCGTAAAATCATGGATATTGGCGAACGACCTCCAGTCGAAGGAGTCGAAGACGAAGCCAGTGCTGGACAGGCGAAGGTTGCCAAAGCCTCGGGCAATAGCTGGAGTCCGAATGAAGAGTTTATCAAAGCTTTAGTAGAAATGGGAGTGTCACAAAACGCTGCAGAGAAGGTATAAATGTAGTATTTTTATATTTCATTTTGTACAGTAAGATATATATATATATATATATATATATATATATATACATTGTAGTTGGTAAAAGCAATTTGATTGGCTAACCTACAGAAAATTCAGTTATTTGCTAGCAGATAACTGAGTTATCTGAAAATGAGCCTGCGATGATTAGCAAGCTGTATCTATTTAACACAAACAAATGTATAATAAAACAATTATTGAATTCGGCTTTTGCGATATGCAAAATTATCAATCTCGACCTTGATAATTCCACATATCACAAAAACCTTATCCAATAATTGTTAATAATCATAGCATTACATCTACTGTATACCCACTTTTTTACATTAATTTAATGTGTCAATTAGTTCCAGCAGTGCCCGTGCCCTGTGCCCATTCCCACCTACCCTGCACCCCACCCCCATGTACCTCGCATACCCGCACCCCCACGTACCCTGAAAAGTCTCCCAGTAAAACAAGCCTGTACTACAAGATTATAGCGTACATATGTAATGGCGTTAGAAGATGGAACATAAGGCAAATTTTCAAAAAAAAACAAAATTGGCCACAAAATTTACTTAATTTTAGACAAAATTTACAGAATTTGTCCCATTTATTTTTATTGCAAACCAAAATTGCCCGACTGTTGATTGAATATTGCCCGACTGCCCAACAAACTGGGGGGGCTCCCCCCTCCCCCCCCCCCGCCCGGTACGCCTATGGTGCTATTGTAGTACATCGTAATTAGGTCCATGGAGCTATGATTTTACTGTTTTTAATAATAATGTATTTCTTACAATAATATAAAGTGTGTATAAATATTATACATGATTGATTTTATCTTAATTTTTCTAAGGGTCTTTATTACACTGGCAATGTTTCAGCAGAGATAGCTGCAGAATGGGTGTTTGAGAATATTGATCATCCCGAATTGAATGATCCTTTCCAGGTTTGTTGCATTTCCTTGTTCAATCCTAACCCAATAAGTTCCATATTGTGCTCTAATGTGCCCTAAAACCAGGTAATTTTACTCTGTCTAATGCCAGACCATTTTACTCTAGCTATGCTCTTCCCTTAAGTGAGCTGGTGCTCTCCCCTTGACAAGTAAAATTGTCTGGCATTAGACAGAGTAAAATAATAAAGTAGGGTGCATCGTGGTTCATTGCCACTTACTTAAAGGGTTGTAACTGGACTACCATTTCAATCACTCGTTTCTATATAGGTTGACCATAGTCTGAGTGGTTTTACTACAGTCAGATCAAATACTCAATCTTCCCATAAAATGGTGTTTGTTGTTAATGACAGCCTTAAAATGGGAGTCGGCAAGGTTGGTGCTCAAGTCGGTCATGCTGCCATTGGGCTGTATCGGGAACTAGAGGAGTTAAAGAGAAAAATCGCTCCAATGTTGGAACAATGGAGTGAAGATGGGTAAGAATGGGTCGTTCCAGAAAAGATCCATACTCCCCTCCCCCACGGAGGAAATTTCTGCCGTCCGGAGGGGGAGGGGAAAAAAATTGTTTCTGATAGTAGTAAATGTATTAGGACATCTGAAAGTGGTAGGGGGGTTAACTTTCATTTCTGGAATTCATGACCCAATGATGAGATTCATGACTTATGCCCATTGAGACAAAGGGGGCAATCTGTCCCAGGTCCAAGTGAAATGAGGCTTCAAATAAATACCAAGGTGACAGGTGCACATATATTAATTTAATTACCGTTGCTTGCAACTCAGGATGGACGGTTGCTCATAAAAACATTGCCTATTTGCATGACAAAGTTTAATGTTTTTACTGAGAAAGTTCAATGTTTGTCAAGAGCACTTGACAGGTTTTAATCTGATCAGCCAATGACGTTCACCAGCTCCAAGCTGATTGGCTGAGTGAATTGAAACAATCGGATGTCATCACAAACATTGAACTTTTTCAGTAAAAACATTGAACTTTGTCATGAGAATAGACAATGTTTTATCTGCGACCGTTCATCCTTAGTTGCAAGTGATGGAATTCTCAATTCTTGAGGGCATATAATCATTTGTTATTTCTGAAACCTCTGAATTTAATATTTATATGCACGGAGAACACTGCCGCAAGTACAGATGCAGATAAATAGAAATCACTAGGACTGCCTGTGCCTTTTGCACAGTGTTTTGTTTTGGGTGACTCTGCCTTTTCCTAGATGTGATATTCTTAGGGTGACACTTATTTTTTTGTTAGATTATGGATTTTGTTTCACCAATATTCAAAGAAAATAAATATAAAAAAGAAAAGACTTGTCTAATACCCCATGAAAGTTAAGACTGGGATTTTGAAGAATATAGAAAGTATATAGAAAGTATTAAATAATAACTCTTTTTCTCTAAGGGAAACGAAAATTGTTGTTAAAGGAGAGAGTGCACAAGCTCTCATGGATATTGAAAGTCTGGCTCTCGCAAAAGGAATACCAACATTCTTAGTGACTGATGCAGGAATGACACAGGTTTGTGCAAAATTATTTTATTATTAATGGTGACCATCAAGTTGCTCTTAAAAATTCCCCCTTTGTGTTCCACCAAAATTTTCAATTATTTGAATTCTTTCAGCCTCCTTTGTGAATGGGTACGGGTTTTTGTTTTTAAAACATGTTTTTTCCTATTTCAAGGTGACTCCCGGATCTGTTACAATTCTTGGTTTATTTGGAGAGAGGTCAACTTTAGATTCAATCACAGGACATCTGAAACTGCTTTAGCAGTTGTGTTTGCAAAAGGAAAGTAGACGTCTAGCACATTATATAATCCTGCTGGCACAGCCAAGCTAGGTAATGAAATCAATGAACTGGTCCAACAGTTGCACGAGAGCTAATCATGTCACACACAGGCTGAAATAACAATGCTCTTCCTACCAATATTTAATTGGTGACACATTTTGTTTGGATGATTAACTGAGAGCAATCAATTTTCTTCATGGATTGGGTTATATCCAACACAAGCTGATGTCTGATTGAATTTGAAAATTCCCGATTAAATTTCTTTCTCCTAATACATCAATCTTTCCTTTTACATCTCCTAATAATGAGGCTTGTTGGATTTGGAAACAACTTGTTATTCTATAAGATGTGCTACTAAAAGAGCATGATATGTACTGTATAATGCTTCTATTATTTTTAAAGGGAAATGGCAATATATTTTTTATTTTCTCATTACGATGTATGTATGTTACGTCACAACAGGGGTCAGGCAATATTTTATCTAGACAACAACTAATCATTTTGAACTCAAAACTATACTCTGCACGCCCTTCAAAATATCAAGATCACTCAAAACCATTAAAACATCTACCAATCAATATTTGGTCAGCAACAAATACTTTTATATGATTAATCCCTGTTGTGACGTCACCAAAACTACCGTTAATGAGATAAAAAATTTATCCAAGATGGTGGACATCTCATTTTATACTTCAAGTGAAAATATTTCAAGAACTAAGCAAGATATGAAAATCAGTAAAAGAAGTTATTAAATAGTTTCAAAAGTTCTTTCAAATGAGAAAATAAAAATTTATTTTGCCATTTCCTTTTAATACAAAAAAGAACATCAATCCATACTCTAAAACAAGATAGTATTATGTTGAAGGATAACTTATACATTCAGCCCTCAAAAGTTGAAAAGAACATATACTAAAAAGGCTTAGTTTAGACTTTAGATCATATTTTCCATTTTGGCCTCTTTACTAGTTTTAGGAAAAGTAGTTAAGAGTAAAGACAAATACATTCACTTTTCATTCATTTTAGCACATTTTCAATTTTTGGAAAAATTTTTCCACATTTTTTCCGACTCCCCATTATTTTTCACATCTCCCCTACACTTTAATCCCCCACTTTTGTTTCAACTCTATTCTATACTCCCCCATTTTTTTCCCTATTTTTTTATTTCCCCACACTTTTTTTACCCATTTCTACTTTTTCCACTTTCTCCCCACTTTTCACTTTTCTTCCCATTTTTTCCCCACCTTTCTAAAAATCGAAAAATCGACGAAAAGATAAGGCTAACCCCTGAACTTTTTGTCCTTTTTTATTTTTTACTTTGTGAAAAAGAGGCAAATAAAGGTAAAGGCTGACCCCACCCTTAATTTTCGAGCCCTGGAAATACTTTATGTAAAATAATATATTGTGTACTGTTCTTATATGTACCGTCATTTGCATCTTATAAGCATGAACACTCGCAGATAAAACATTGTACATTTTCCACGTGAAACTTTCATAAGCATATAAAGGTTTTAATTGGCTGTGTTAATGAAAGTGAAGTTACTTAAATTTGGTTGGCTGATTAGATTAAAACTTATCAAATGCGCTTTACAAAACATTGAAGTTTCACACGAGAATAAGTCAATAAAGACTCAATATTTTCACTTGCGACTGTTGTATGGCCTCAACCAAATCTTATGTAAATTTTGAATATTTTTCAAAAGCTCATACAGTATTTTTCAGTCATAAAAATTACACAAAAATAATCATAAAATCCGGTAAGGTAAAATACAATCGTCCAGAAATCGAAATTGTGGATCGTAATTTTCCGCTTTATGTTCGGAATCACTTCGGCTGCAGCGGACAAGATTTTGGCGGGAAAATATTCACGTGCAAGCGAAGCCATTTAACTTTTTTATTTGCTGTTGTGTATAAAATTTCTGCTATTTTTGCTTGATCTTTGAAAATGGCTTTGGATCCTGAGCAGTATTTAAGGACTGTGCAAAGAGAATATCTTGATTTCATTGACGACGATGTAAGTGCGAGTAAATCTTTTAAATTTTGATATTTATTTTGATATGTTGTTGTATCACGGTTTTAGCTTTGTTAAATATTATTGTTGTTTATATGAGCTTACACACTTTGTTGTAGTGTACAGAAATGATCGTTGTGGTTTTATATATGGCACTTTTTATTTCGAAATAGATATAGGTTTGTCTACATGTACATGAAAATTGAAAGATCAATAATGGTCATTACAATACTCTGCCTAAAGTTTATATACACACTAGAGAATCAGAAACTTGCTGAGCTTACTGCCTGGCGTGTCGGCTAGCTAGACATGTTTCTCTTTGTACAGATAGTTTTCGTGAGGATGTGGCCTCTTGAGGAAAATATCCATCGATATTTTTCACCTTGCGAGGAAAAAATCTCGACATACGAGATATTGCGAGCTTTATTATCTAGCCAATGAGAACCCATGGCTCCTTCAAATGACTTTGGTCAAAATGGCGACAACAGAGGGAAATGCAAACGATCTCATCAACGTTGTTGCTGTTGAGTAGTTTTCCCAACATGTGCGGTGAAAATGCATAGCTGAGCTGGCCGCCAAGCAGAGGCGGTTAGCTCGGCAAGTGTCTCTTGTGTGGGACAGGCTTAATCCATTAAGTTGTATTTAACGGTCTTGTCCAGTTGATTGAATTTAATTAAATATTTGTTCAGGATGATCAAGGTATATACCATGGGAAGATTAGCAACATGATCAAGAAGGATGAGTGCCGAGTCATCGTTAATATTAATGATCTCAGGCGAAAGAACGAGAAGAGAGCTAGCAAGTATGTGTGTTAATCTAAATATAGTATATATTATTTAGTTTCTGCAAGCAGAATTTAACCCTTTAAGCAAAGCGTCCTATTGTGCCCTATTTTATTATTTTACTCTGTCTAACGCCACCAGCGCCCTTGAAAAAATTCTGACCACTGATAATTTTACTCGTGAAGGGGAGAGTGCTACCACTCAATGGGTTAAATTAATCTTATGCATTTGTGTATTTTTCTATTTAGATTGTTAACTGAATCATTTGAAGAACTTTTAGCATTCCAGGTAAAATGGGAAATGTTATTTTGAAGATGCAGGTTAATTAAGACTGCTCAGTATTTCCATCAAGTTGCAATGTGCCTTAAATATGTTCGTTACTTATTTATTGTACTGTATGTAAACCCTGACAAATGGACAATTGTTTGGGACATACTAATATGCTTAAAATTTATTTTAGAATGCATTGAAAGAGTTTGTGGGTTCTGCTGATGCAACATATTCCAAGAAATTTGAAGAATTTTTTGTCGGTTTAGAAGGAAGGTAACTCAGGCCCTGTTTACACTTAATACCGGATTGCATCGGAGCGTAGCGATTTTCATACCGGATTTGGCTGCTGTTTACACTACGCCACAGTAATCCGGTACGCGACGCAGAGCAAAAATCACTCCGCTTTGGAGGTGATATGAAAAGTAATCCGGTATGTGCCGGAGCAGTGTAAACAGGCTAATCCGGTACGCTTCGGTACAAAATCGATTTTGCCGTGTATGTTTTAACATTGTCGCCTTTATTTGCTCGCTTTTACAATACTTTATAGCTGTTGTTTGTTTCGCCTTGCAACCATTTACTATTTCTGCCGAATACAAGTAAAGAAAACGATAATAACATTGACGTTTCGCTTTCGAAAGAGCAAAATTTAAAGAAATACTCTGAAATTTTGGATTAGAGTGAAACGAAGCAACGTCTGGTGGTCAAGCTTTTTACAGTCAATTTCAGCTGACTTTCATCGTAAGATTCTGAACTTCGTTCGGAACTTCGCAAATTCGTTGCCAAGTTCAAAAGTTCATAATGAAATTCACAAACAGGTTTGTAAACTGGGCATTTGATTGGCTGGTTTGATTTAATAGCCAATCAGAGGCTTTGTTTACAAACCTGTTTGTGAATTTCATTATGAACTTTTGAACTTGGCAACGAATTTGCGAAGGTCGGAACGAAGTTCGGAATCTTACGATGAAAAGTCAGCTGAAATTGACTGTAAACAAAGTTATACTTTACAAAGAAAACGGGTGTTACTTCTTGTTTTTAATAAATTTTGGTATATTGGCTACTTGTTTTCATGGCGACAGTGAAAGACATGAGCTGGCAACGGAGCGAAGCGGCATAGTGTAAACACCCTTGATTTTTTACTTCGGAATAAAAATTAATCCGGTATGAAAAGTAATCCGGTATAGTGTAAACAGGGCCTCAGTGAGCCACAATTCACTCCGGTGCGCTATAGTGTTTAATATCAGAAATGATTTGGTAACATTTAGAAAGTGTGGGATTATTATCCAGACAGTGCAAATATCAGATTTTCTTACATTTAGTTTTGGGTCAAGGCATGTGACTCCAAGGTCGCTCACCTCACATTTTCTCGGCAATATGGTGTGCGTTGAAGGAATTGTTACAAAATGTATGTATTATATGATAACCATCAGTATAATGACCTACTATCAGTCTAACGACCTACCATCAGTGTTAGGACCTACCATATAACAATCTACCTTCAGTCTAACAACTTACCATCAGTCTAACAACCTACCATGAGTGTAATGACCTACCATCAGCCTAACGATCTACCATCAGTGTAACAATCTACCATAAGTCTAACAATTTACCATCAGTCTAACGACCTACCATCAGTCTAATGATCTACCACCAGTGTAACAACCTACCATCAATCTAACAACCCACCATCACTCTTATACACCATCAGTCTAACGACCTACCATCAGTCTAACGATCAACCTTCAGTCTAACGACCTACCATTAGTCTAACAACCTACCATTAGTCTAACAACCTACCATGAGTGTAATGATCTACGCATCTGTGCAATCTTCCATCAGTCTAGCGATCTACCATTGGTCTAACCATCAGTCTAACGACTTACCATCAGTCTAACGACTTACCATCAGTCTAAAAATTAGGGTAAAATTTAGGTGTAAAATTTAGGTGTAAAATTTAGGTGTAAAATATGGGTGTAAAATTTAGGTTGAAAATTTAGGTTGAAATTTTAGGTTGCAATTTTAGGTTGAAAATTTATGACAACCATCAGTCTAACGACTTACCATCAGTCTAACGACTTACCATCAGTCTAACGACTTACCATCAGTCTAAAAATTAGGGTAAAATTTAGGTGTAAAATTTAGGTGTAAAATTTAGGTGTAAAATATGGGTGTAAAATTTAGGTTGAAAATTTAGGTTGAAATTTTAGGTTGCAATTTTAGGTTGAAAATTTATGACAACCATCAGTCTAACGACTTACCATCAGTCTAACGACTTACCATCAGTCTAACGACTTACCATCAGTCTAAAAATTAGGGTAAAATTTAGGTGTAAAATTTAGGTGTAAAATTTAGGTGTAAAATATGGGTGTAAAATTTAGGTTGAAAATTTAGGTTGAAATTTTAGGTTGCAATTTTAGGTTGAAAATTTATGACAACCATCAGTCTAACGACTTACCATCAGTCTAACGACTTACCATCAGTCTAACGACTTACCATCAGTCTAAAAATTAGGGTAAAATTTAGGTGTAAAATTTAGGTGTAAAATTTAGGTGTAAAATATGGGTGTAAAATTTAGGTTGAAAATTTAGGTTGAAATTTTAGGTTGCAATTTTAGGTTGAAAATTTATGACAACCATCAGTCTAACGACTTACCATCAGTCTAACGACTTACCATCAGTCTAACGACTTACCATCAGTCTAAAAATTAGGGTAAAATTTAGGTGTAAAATTTAGGTGTAAAATTTAGGTGTAAAATATGGGTGTAAAATTTAGGTTGAAAATTTAGGTTGAAAATTTAGGTTGAAAATTTAGGTTGAAAATTTATGACAACCATCAGTCTAACGACTTACCATCAGTCTAACGACTTACCATCAGTCTAACGACTTACCATCAGTCTAAAGATCTACCATCAGTCTAACAATCTACCGTCAGTCTAATGATCTACCATCAGTCTAATGATCTACCATCAGTCTAACGACCTACCATCAGTCTTACGACCTACCATCAGCCTAACTATCTACCATCAGTCTAATGATCTACCATCAGTGTAACGACCTGCCATCAGTCTAATGACCTACCATCAGTCTAACAACCTACCATCAAATACCATCAGTCTAACAACCTAGCATCAGTCTAACGACCTAGCATCAGTCTAACGACCTAGCATCAATCTAACAACCTACCATCAGTCTAACAACCTACTATAAGGCTAATGATCTACCATCAGTCTAATGATCTACCATTTGTCTCACCATCAATCTAACAATCTACCATCAGTGTAACGACCTACCATCAGTCTAACGACTTACCATCAGTCTAACGATCTACCATCAGTCTGACGATCTACCATCAGTCTAACAATCTACCGTCAGTCTAATGATCTACCATCAGTCTAACGACC